ATATATATATATATATATATATGAATATGAATAATAAAATATATATACATATATGCATACGTATACACACTCACACACTCGTTATATATACGTTACATATTTAATTATATTTTAATACGTATACGTTATGTACATTTTGGATAAATGTTGCAGAGCTTCACCAAAATTTATATGCTTTATTCTATATATATTTTACTGTGTGGAAGATATAGATTTATTCAAAACGTGTGCAAAGAGAAAATAAATTTCTTAACAATCAGGTACAATCTTTTGCACTTTTGTAACTCTAGAATGTAACTGTACAATAATTTTTATTCGCTTTAGACTAGCTTTATAATTTCACATCTTTTTTAGCTTCTTATTTAATTGTTTTGGAGAGATTTTACATGAATACATAAATATACAAATAAAATAATATAATTTGTAAATAACATAATGTAATATATATATATATATATATATATATATATATATACAATTTAAAATGCATATAATAATAATATGTACAGAATGTTTTTTAATTATATGTCGATAGTATCAATACTCAAGTAGAAAGTGGACTTAGAATCTAGAAAAGCAAAAAAAAAGTAGTTTGTTTAGAATTTATTTTCTAATTTATAATAAGTTATGATGAATTATGCAACTCGGAAAGAAGTACACACACACACACACACACAAAGTAAACATCTCTTTTGCTAATACATGCTGAGGCATATGATTATAAAACTTAAGATACAATACGTATCAGTAAATATCTGGCCACATCATGTCGTTATCTGTGAACAATTCGCGCTGTATCTGAACATAAGTAAGTATTTTGTTACAATTGTTACAAATTTATTTAATAAACACACTTTTTTCCTATGATCTGTATAGTTTACATACATAATTTACGCAAATGTGTTATTTGAAAAAAAATACAATTATTATAGTATTAATATAATAATATTATTATTGATTTATTATTGCAACGATTTGTCAGATTTAAATTTATACTTGTTTGGACTATTAATGTCTTTATTGTACAATATTTCCTAGTCGAGTAATTTATTTAATCTCTTGTGAAAAAGTTGTGTGTGTGTGTGTGTGTGTGTGTGAGCGCGCGTGGAGCGGAAAGGAAAGAAAGAAAGAAAAATTAATTAATTTCTATCAATATGAGTACAATTGCCTAGCATGGTCTATGTTATACAAAAATCTTTTAACAGAAATATTTATCATTAAATTTATAAGTAGAGCTCACAATCAAATCACAATACGTGCCATAACATGTGCGCGGCTCGCTATTGAACACTGAGTGAAAAAATAGCGATACAGATCGAATTATGATCACCTTACTATTTAATAATAATTGCCGTTATTGTTCGCTCAGCGTTCAATGTGAAAAAGCAATGCGTTGCGCATTTTATGACATTCATTCGAGTTTTACTTATATACTATAACTAATGATAATGGAAATTATTGTAGTATTGTCAAACAATATCTGCAATCTGCAATTCAAAATTCAATTTTACGGAACAAATTCTTGGCTTATTGCGATTTCTCTTAATTCGTATAGTTTTTCAAAATTATATTAATTGAGATTCTTTGACATTTTATACAATTTTTTTGCAATTATAGTTTATTGAATTATCGAGCCAGACGCGAAAGAAGTTATATGGATCTTTTCCTCTATATACATACATGAAAATGCAATAAATTTATTTTTATGCCACAACGCGCGTTCAAGTATAACTTGCAATTAGTAAAATATGCGAAAACAATTTTTTTTAGTTTTTTAGTTTTTTTCTGCATCAGTAAATAAATGTAATCTAATCTACATATGTTATATACTTATAATATTCTGTTTTCAAAAAGGATATGAATCTAAATAAAAATTTGAATTATGACAAATGATAATTATCGATTATTTCGTAATAATTTATAAAATAAAAGAAAATTTTTGGTATGTTTTACGAACTGATATCGTCAATAACGTTACTGTTATTCGAGTTGCCACATTGACATACTCGTTTGAGCGCCAGTTAGAGAAATCCATATAATTTCTGTCTTGTGACATCGTAATCCAACACAACAAGATCGCAACAAAAGTAGTGATATGTGAGAGTTGCATTTCATACATGTTCTCTTGGTGAAATATAAAAATATCGAATATAACGTCGAGTATCAAGAACATTTTTTTCGTGTAAAAATTAATCTCCGTACGCACGTGAATAATATAATCTCGAGGAAAAGATTGCGCGGCGGATTGCAGCAATTTTCATATACAATTTTTCGTCATTTGTATATAAAGAACATAGTCAACCACGAGGGTTCAGGTGCGACTCACGCGACGCCGCGCAATCTGCGATATTGCGATAACGTGACGAGATTCGTTCTATATTGAAATTCCTCTCTCGTGTATCTTGTTTCACTCGTTGAGAGCCTCCGAAATAACCCCTTTAGATTTATCGAGATGGAACGTCGTGGTAGAATTCAGGCCTATCACTGTCGTAGTGGTAGTCTCACTTACCGTAGACTCTCGCTTTCGATACGGATTCGACGGCTGACACAATCTGCGATCGATGACGAAAAGAGAAGAGAATCAAAAAGTGACAATTGTCGTGTAAAAATCCAATTACAAAATTTCATTCATAAAATTACGAAATTGCAAAATTGCTAAATGTGCCAAAAGTGTAAATTAAGTAAGCGAATTAGCAAATCGATAAGAGTTTTTATTTCGCAAAGCTAGTAGCTTTTCCAAATTTGACTGTGACTTTGATATTGATTACTACGTTGCGTTAAACAAGATCAATCCTGTTACATCTTGTGACGCATTATGCACACATATATGAAGAAATTTTTAACATAAGGTACGCGTGAAACGAGTACCTTATGCTCTCCGTTCTTGAACGAGGGGACCAATTGTTATAATACCTCCGGCGGGTGCCGAGATTTCGCGTGGTGCTCCATCGTGCGAAATGATGCCTAACTGTATTCTGCACTTCAGTATTGAGAAAACAGTAAAACAGCGCCACAAAAAATCCCTGAAAAAAAAAAACAGTTTATTTATATTTTTGATCGCATGAGGTCATTTTTCGTCCTGATGAAAGAATTTCGAGTTAAATCGCCCTCTCTCATTTCTAGAAAGTCGCTCGTACGTGTATAAATAGATATAATATATATGAATTACTGTCCTATTACCTCCGTATTTTATCTCCGTGCTCGATAATTGTCCTCGCGTTTTTGACGCCCTGCCGCGATTTTTTTTTGGAAAATAAGCGAATTTATCTTTCAAGTATTACGCTGATGGTTAATGATAGAGTCATAGTTGATTCGGCCGGAGCAACGAGTTCATAAGCATCGCAAATTAGCAGGATAAGTAAGTTATAGAGTTAGAGACAACGCGCGGACAATTAACAATTAACTGATTAAAATCCAATCAGAGTTTATTCTCGAAAACGTTCGACTGTGATTGGTAAATTTGCTTATCGCTCTAATTTAATCGCTAATTACGTGTACGTTTTTTAAATGGCTTTTACCTGCGAAGAAAGTAGAATCGCGCGCGCATAGGAGAATGCACTGGCTACTTGACCTTCGGTGGGCCCAGCTATAACTAGCACATACGTCACTCCTAGAAGTGGTATCAACACCAAGAGAGCTTTACTGGCTTTTCGATATTGCTGTGTCTCCACGTTGTTAGAAGACCAAAGCTTCGTTATCAGCACCTGCAAAGCATACGATGTATTGTTATATTTAAATCAATTTAGGGGAATGACAATAATATACTAGCTTATATAGTTATAGCGTTACTCGAATAAATGTGAATGTCAGCTCTACTTTCGTACTTATTTCAACGAAATTTTTCTTTATCATCCAACTAATGGGATTATCCAGAAATTTCATCTCGAAAGTATACGTTTTACGCTTCTAGTCCTAAGATACGAGACTAAATTATAGTTCCAATGCGCGATTTCGCATCCGATACATATACATTTGACGACCGTTTCATCCGTTTATCGCGCTTCTCTCGGCAATATAAACTGAATCACCGATTGCGTTAAATTGAAACATCCGTCGCGTATCTACGCGCTGTTTTATTCGTTCACTGTCAACAAATATTTGTTTTAGTTTTCATTTCGAATCAGAAGAGCACCCATTTCGGATCAAATAAAATCGACATTTACATCGCCTAATTTTCGCCTAATTATTGTTCGAGTCGATACAAGTTGATTTTTCCTGGCATCAATGGATTAACAATGTCTTTCCAATAAAAATTACAACTATAATAAAAGTATAGGTAATGCATTAAAAGTTTAAAAAATGCAGGTTGCTCGCAATTAATTATCATAAATTTACAATACAAACAAAAAAATGTTTTCCTGTTGGTGAAGATTCGAGGTCGCACGCAATCCGTAATAAAAAAATGTCCAGTTAGGTTTTAAAAAGTGAATGTTTATAAATGTAACTATCCATGTATTAGTGGCAATAAAGTAGACAGTGACAATTAAAAAAGTTACACATATGAATTCTATCACGTATTGAGACTTGTGAATGTCAGCAAGTGAAACGAAAAGAACTTGTCAGTTAAAAGTGACAGTTATAAGTTCAACTTTATTTGTTAACAATTTTCTAACAAACAACGTACGACGGCTCAATACCCTTTACAGGGTCAGGTGACCTTAACAATATATGCCAAGGTTATGTGCCTAGGTCATCGAAATTGCTTCGTATTAAAGTTTATAGTACATGCAAGAAAAATAAAATGTAAAAAGAATTACGATAATATATAAAGACACACACACACGCACGCACACACACACACACACACACACGCACGCACGCACGCGCACACACACACACACACACACACAAAGTAAAAATTTATCTTATTATTTATTAAACTGTACTAACATGATAGAGAGAAAAGTTTTCTCTATGTATATACATATATATATATATATATATATATATATATATATATACATATATATTATATTAGTACAGTTTAATAATAATAATTACTTGTTTAAATAAAAGTCAAATGCCGAAATTGTGAAAATTATGCCAACTTGCTCCGGTCTTCCTTATCATTCTAATTGTAAGATTAATTCTAGCGATGTACTCACCCGCATAATCATGAAAAGGAACACCATGTTCACTGCTAGGACTATTACAGCGGACGCTTTATAAAACCAGTCATAAGGATGTGGTATCATCCAGGGACAATGTCTCCAGAGCGCCACTTCCTGCCGACATGGTGTTTGTAATTAATTAATGCATAGTGTTACGATATACATATGTATGTATATTACTTAAGCTTGTAACTAAATTAGATAGGAACAAATTCGATTCTCTCCTCTCATACAAAGGGCATCATAAATGTCTTAACATTTACAAATGTTTTCCGATGTTTCCTGATGTGCACTGTTATATTTCGTATTGTATATTAATATAAATATATTTAAACTAAATAAATTTTTAGTAATGCTAAATGCGATTTGAAACGGATGCTTAATAATAACTGTGTGAATTGTACAATTTCTAGTTCAGGTAAACGCCGAATATTTGTCGGTCTTAAAACACAGCTCCAAACTGAATCCGGACTACGTAACACATATATTGATATTGTCACAACTAGATTGACAAGCAATTTAATAATTTTTGATGCCATTCAACATCTTATTGAATCCTGTAATAACTAATTTACCTATAATAATTTTTCAGGCGACGTATAAACAAATTAATATAAAACCTAATCAAGACCATGAAAGTTCAAACTAGATAAATTTTGAATAATTGTCAAATGCAGTCAGAATTTTGATGCTTAATATGTAATAACTATGTGAAATCATATAATTTCCAATTTAGATAAACTGCGCACCGAATATTTGTCGGTCTTGAAATAAGCTTTAAACTGAATCCAGAATATATATAATATATACATACATATATCAGAATATATATAATATATACATACATATAATAATTTCATAAATATAATTTTATATATATATATATATAAATATATATATATTTGCAAACCTTTAATTTTACATGTTATACATATCTTTGTAACTAAATTCCAAATTGTAAACTTATTTAAATAAAATTTGCTTGAAATTAAACAAGAAATAAGGTGCAGTACCATTTGTGCCTTTAAAGTTTTGCAGTTTTGATGGAAAATTCTGTTTTTAAGCTTGCAGTTTAAGATTATAGGGCTGACATTTTTTTCATGTTCATTTATATGAGTGACAACAAATTTAACAAGTTTTCAGTGAGTATATACAAACTTCGATGTATATAAACTTGTTACTTGATCTTTCGATTTTTATTTATACATTACGCGCGATCTAATGGAAAGTCTTTTCGCAAGCGAATGATAAAAAATATCTTGATACGAGCATCGATCCATTCGAATTGAATACGTTTAATGATGCACATGTACGATGTAAAATCACCTCATGTCCCCCCCCTCCCCCCTACGTGGATATTATTCCTACCTCTTTACCTCGCAAATTTCATTCTTGTCACGTACTTGTTAGACACGACGTTAATAAATGAACGTGACTGAAATTTTGTTTGGTATTTTTGACACTGCCTGTTCATCAGTAGTCCGTTAAATGTCACTTACATCGGGAAATGAAAGATTTCTCACGCAGAAAGACAGAATTCGTTGTCAAATTCATAACGTTATTGAAGATAATCTTATTTAAATTCGTACCTGGTTAGCTTGATTCATGACATGATTCATGACTTTCTGATCTAACGATTTGGCGATTCCCCACATGGCTATTACGAGCACCGGGACACCTAGATTTATTTATCTATTAGTTTATAATTATTTATTTGTTTAATCATCATTATACGATTTACATTCTGTGAACTCGATGATTCTTTTCTTTTTTCCGCGATTCTAGAGTTATTAGTTCACTCACCCCATCCAATCACTAAGCAAAGTCTTAGCTTGATATTGTCGCCAGTGAATGTTTTCACGACCAACAGATACAGATACAAACCTATAAACACATGAAATAATAAGTGACAAAAAAATATGTAATAATATTCAGTGCATGTTTTAAATATTTCCTTGGCTAGCGCGCAGATATGTTTCTTTAGCTTAATTATTAATTTTTTAATGTCATAAGCGATCATAAGCTCTTGTGACGATACTTTTTCCCTCGACACTGTTCTGAGCAATAATATATCATGTACATTTTGTAAGAGGTATATACAATATGCATGTCGAAATATCGTATTTCCAAAATTCTAACTCTTCTAACTTACCTTCGACGAACATCCAGAAAAAATTTGTCAAATGGAAATAATGAAGAAGCGAGAAAAGCGTTACGCAAGTTGGTATATCTGTTTGCATAGACACCTGAAAATAATATAAATATCGTATTATGTGTGTGTGATAAGAGAAACACCCATTCACAATATTCAGTCAGATAGACAGATAATATTAGTTTTAGAGGAGTGTGGTATTATGCTTCTCCCCCTCATTTACATTTTGTATAATAACTTTGTTAATAATTTTTTAAATTAAAAACTTTACAATTACATGTAAAAGTGTCATTTAATCGATTCTAGATTCAATATATGTTATGAAATATGTACATTACTTAGAATGTTATTTATAAAAATGTGATATATATGACACTGCAAAATGGGTCGAAGAAGAACAGGGACAGTTATGTAGCTTTCTATAAATATTGATTCAAAAAATTGATTTTATTTAAACAAGCACAGTGTTTTGTTACAAATGTATGTACAAAAAATAAAATATTGCAGAAAATATTGTTGAATGTACGTAAATTAATATATATACGTATACGTATAAATCTCTTCCTCATGTAGACTGCTGCCAGTACTGAAAATTTATCGTACATGTAACGTGAACTATAGATTTGCAAATACAATCGATTTATTGAATACTCTCTACTTCGATGAAAACCTAAAAAAAAAATAGCATGCTTTATTATCAGCACGCTATAAAAAAAATTGCCATCGTTTAACTTTGCATAACTCTCTCGAAATGTGTATAGCCGAATAAAATGTTAAGTAACGAGAATAACTCAAGTGTATATAATATATTCTGTTATAATATGTCTAGTTTAAGGAGGATGAGAAAGTATAATATATATAATTAAATATTAAAATATTAAAATGTACTTTAAAAACATTTCGAAATGCTTGAAAAAGGCGTTATAGCAAATGCCAGTTATTGTGTATTGGTATTGGTATCATCATTGCGTAACGGTGGGCTATTAAACAAATGTTTCCATCAGTTAATCATCAGATTTCGTCTTAATAGTGGAGATATTAAGAGGGATCATATTATACATGCAATAATACCACTCTCTCTCGGTACTAAAATCTACAAATACTATTCCGAAAACATTATGTAGATCTATTACTCGCCAACTTTTGTATGACAAAAATAGAATTAATCTTTCAGAGTTTTGTTACAGAGATTTTATGGAATCGAAATGAAAATTACAAAATGCAGCTTTTAATTACGTGCAATCTGGGAGGGTGCAGTCGATGAGGATTTTTTGTGATACACAGTGACGCGCCCAGCCAATTATCCGATAGATAGGAAAGTTTTTTAGCATTCATCTTTCTTCGTTAACCATTAATAAAGAATAATGTGTCATTAACCTTCCCATTCTCTTCTTCTCTCTCTCTCCACTTTTTTCCCTCCTTTCTTTATTCTTTATATTTGATATTGAAAAGCTGAACTGATTTATGTATCGATACATAAATGTGAAAAATTATTGGCAAACTTTAATTGTTGATAAAAAAAATCATACTATAATATATCTATTGGACATATATATGTATAATGTAACTGCATGAAGAATCTTTGAATCAATTTTATATTGTCTCATCACTAATAAAGATTACCATTTGTGCATTACTTATATATAATTTTATAAAATTAAACAATTCTTTTTACTTTATCAACGATCGAGGTTTGCGAATAAATTTCCATATTCATCTTTATGTTTTTTTTCTTCTCATTTATCTCATTCTTTATGGTAAACTAATTTTAGTCAAAGCGTGATGGAATTAATATTATAACATGATAGACTGAAAGCAGCGCTTCATTAAATTTAAAATAATTTCATGCAGTATATATGGTGTGTATAATACATTAAAATTATGAATAATCAGAATCAAATTAGAGAAAAGAAATTTGAAAATCAAAGTCGATACATCATTAAGCATTGCAATTCGAGATTGGCAAAAAACATTTCTGTAATTAATATTTTGTCATAAATAAACAAAGATTCGCGGTTTAGAAAATTTTAACAAAATATAGCTAGTATAACGTATTAAAATGTATGTAAATATTTACAATGTTAACCAACTTTTTTTATTTTAACAAAAAAAGTTATCGATTATTATATTGCATAAAGAATTTACGATCATTATTGTATTGTAAGAGAAACATATAGATACATATAATATAAAATTATAAATGTTATATAAAAATAAAGAAATATTCCGAGAAAGAATATTTTTAAATATAATTTGTTAATATATACAAAATATATATATTAACTGTGTAAAATTAAGAGAAATATTTAAATAAAAGTGAGATTTATAAATACATATACATACATTACAGTGTATACATTACCTGCATCACAGTAGTCAAAATCCACGTCAAATCAGCCAGGATATAAGTGAACATTAGATTCGTGTGTATATTGTTTCTGAGGCATCGTAACTCTCTAAAAAAAAAATTATGAGACAATAAAAAATTTGACAAGCTCTGGAATATTTTCGTGCTATAGAGTTAATTTAGATTAATACGTGGTGCATGAGATATTCTCGATTAGAAAATAAATAGAAACGACAAAGTAGAATTCAACGCATGGAATTCCAAACTTTCGCGACATATGTATATTTCGTTCATACTGTCTCGACCGTTCGCTTCTTCGAATACCATTCGCGCGTGCCGTACGTACCGATACGAAGTAATAATATGAAAACGACAAGAGCACAAAAAATGGAAAATTTATATAGGAATATCGAGAATAGAAGCGTAAGAATATCTGATGGTATTTAACATCAGGAAAATTCTGTAACTCTTCTATTTCAATTACAATTAATTTATAATTCTTTTTTCCTCTCTCTTTCTCTCTCTTTCTCTCTCCCTCTTTCCATCTCTTTCTTTCATAACTAATAAATTTGATCTCGTTTTACTATTATTCAAAGTGAGTTTATAAATACAGAGAAGATACATTGTAAATAGATATTTATTACATATTATAAAAGATCCTATCTTAAAATTGCCGTGTTACCTGCGTTGAAGCCCTTGTCTTTTCCCCAATGTTTAAAAATTCATATCTTCCAAAAAAATAAAAATATCGTCTTCTTTCTGGGCTTATCTTAAAGATGAATTATGTGGTTATTTTCTAAAAAATCGTAATTTGATTTAAAAATGGCCGATTCAATATGGCCAATTAAAACGTCATTTTATTGAAAATTGTCAAAATTTGTTTAATTAAAATGTAATTTGGTATAAATGTTATTGGACTATGTATGGAGTTTAATACGCACCGCGCGCAAAGCATCATTTTTTTTGAAAATTTATTTTTTATTAAAAATTGTTAACATTTTTAACATGTTTAATTAAAATGTAATAAAATTGGTATAAATGTTATTGGAAGATATATGGGATTCAATACGCAGTTCGCGTGAAGTGCGCGCCTGTTATGTACTAGTAACAACTAAAAATAAGTTGAAAATGTGTCAAAGGCTAAAACGTAAAAATGCAATGTTTTTGTTTTGCTGGTCGATTCTCCTTAAAAACGATAACAATAAACAGGAGGATAGTAATAAACAGAAAGAATTTCAAATTGCGCTTTATCGAGACTTAACTCACTTGTAATAGATAAATATGTAGACCGCCAGTATTAGTGTAAATAAGGAAAGACTGTAGCCGATGAAATATAACGTAGTCGTGATCTCTACACCAGGTTCGATGGTCGGCAACCGCACGTCGCGGCACATGGAATAATTCGAATAATTGTCCCAAGTCCCATTCGGCCAACACCAGCGACTGGCGTTTTCTGGAAGTGCAATAGATTAAGTATAGTTAGTATGCTTCCGTTACTTCAAGAACGCTCAAAGAAAACTATTAATTCTTATATGTTATTATGAATAAAATGAGTCTATGTATATTGTGTGCGGGAGGAGAATATATACAATAATTAACCGTGTGTCTGTGTGTATAGATACGTAGAATAATCGCACCAATATGCGGCATGTATGTACATAGTTTAGAAATATAGAAATTAATAGTTTAGAAATATAGAACACGTTTAGAAATATAGAAATATACATATGTATATATGTATATTTGCAATTAATCGTAAAAAAGAAAAAAAAATAAAAAGCCAAAGATTTGACGTTAGATGTAACAATTGTGGTACGTCTAATTGATAATGTATGAAAACATACGTCAATGATTAAGAATAAACAATCTTATGCAAACGAATATTGGAAACTAATATTTTCGCTTCTCTGCGTATAAAACGTTAGCGTGGCGATGTTTTTCAATGAATTTGACACAACGCATCGTTATCTAAATACAAATATTCGGATATACGTCATATGCGCTTGAGTGACCTGAGGGACGATTTCTAGCATCCCCCGGCAATTTTTCACGATCTTACAACGGCACTAGACCGTGACGCGAATATCGTCTGCGTTGCATTATTCACAACCACAAGGAAAAATGCCGGATGAATCGATACGCGGAAAAAGAGGTCGTCCATGAAATGACCGGATGTTGTAATAGCGACAGAAGTAACCGCATCAACGTGTCGCTTTTTAATAGCTTCTTTAATCTATAATCGACGACGGTAATCACTATATACGGTGACGTTTGCTGAATGCTCAAGCTGCCTATAAGTTGATAAATTAGCTATAAAAAAGCTTTATAAAATACGATAGCTATATAGTCTTTATATTACGCAGAACATACAATATAAATTCCAACTAATAATCTCTGAGCTTTTGAGACTCTTTATGAGCTCACAGTTGACAATGTAATTCCTTTATTATTTTTAATAATGCTTCGATTGACAGTGACTCCCAAAAAAAGATTTAAAAATAGTTCGATTCGGACAATTATTTATCAATACAAATAAAAAATAAAATAAAACATTGATCATCATTTAAACAAAGTCGTATAGCAAAATCTAAATGATGCCATAATAAAATTTGATGAAATTTCAATTTAAAGGGTAATTTCTCAGCGATCGCGATGACTGTAATCCTTTCGTCATTATTAATAGCAGGTCGGCGATGAACTTGTTGCCTCGAAATAATGATCGACTACTCATAACGACGTTTTGTTGCGGTAAGTTCGCAAACAAAACTTGTTAGCGCGGCTTCTATTTATCGCGTAAGGCTGCTTAAACAATAATGAGTGGCGCGAGAATCATGGAGCGCGTCACAAAGTTTCGTAATTATTCTTGGAAATTAACGATATGCACTTTATTGGGAGTTTTCATAAACTATAAACTATTAATTTGTGGTGAAAGAACTTATATGTCATAGTTTTAATCAGTATAATAATACTATTGTAATTCTACACGCATGCGTGACTTTAAATTGCTCTATTATCATAAGATAATGTTTTGAATAAATGAATGCAAGATAGAAGTATAAGATAAGAGATAGCATGTTCGCAATTATTTTTTACAATATTCAAAGATAATAATAATAGTTAAATATATACGGTTAAATAAAAACACAGTTTTTAAATAAAACGCTTTACATATAATAAATCTAGTTTTGAATCTATTTCTTTATAAAGATGTTAAAATTACAATTAATATTTAAAATTATAATAAATCGAAAATATACATGCAAAATTGTCGACAGGAAATTGGCGAATGGTTAAAAGTTAATTTCGTGTGAAGTTTACTTAAACGAGATAGCATTAAAAAATTCCAGATTCAGTTGAGATACTGACAATTAATAAAAAAGTTTAATTATTAAATTATATTACATTTACTTTACTGTGTTTAAATATAATATTTTTAATTATACGAGTTACTTGGATATTATAATATTATTAATTAGAATATAATTTTGTTTAATTAAAAAAGAGGAAAATTGTGAAAATTAATGATTTGATGTGTGATGATAAGTCTTCGAAAAGTATTATATGGTAGAGAGAGAGAGAGAGAGAGA